GGGCTGGGGATTCGAACCCGCCACATTAGGTGTACATGGCTGGCGCCTTAGCCGGTTGAGCTATAGGAGCCGAGCCTAAAAAGTTAATTTTTTAATGTAAAATTTTAACAAAATATTAGAATGATTTAGGAGGTAACAATTGACTCATTTTAATTTTCTGTGTAACTTTGATTTGCCAAATGCATGGTGTAATTCTCTTTTATTAAGAATCAGTATACTGACTCAGCACCTATAGCACAGAGGTTATGGTGCTAGCCATATACACAGAGGCTGGTGGGTTTGAACCCAGCCCAGGCCAACTAAACAACAATGACAACTGCAACTAAAAATAGCCAGGTATTGTGGCAGGCGCCTATAGTCCCAGCTACTTCGGAGGCTGAGGCAAGAGAATCACTTGAGCCCAAGTGTAGGAGGTTGCTGTGAGCTGTGATGTCACAGCACTCTACAGCAAGGACAATATAGTAAACCTCTGTCTCAAAAAAAAAAAAAAGAATCAGTATACTTCCATATTCATGGATTCAAACAACCTTAGAATGAAAATGTTTTTAAAAATACATCTGTACAGAGTCTATACATACAGACTTTTTTTCATTATTCCAGAAACAATAAGGTATAATAAGTATAAAAAACAAATCAGTCTTCTTGGTTACTGTAAATTTAGTAAATAGGAGAAATGAATGCCATTTTATATACTTAATTGAAATGTTTTCAGTAGTTCAATCTAAACACTAATATATGGAGGACTTATGATTTAAGCTACTAACCTCATAAGAAGATCATATTGAGAATGGGGTTATTGAGATAGAAAACAATTATTTTATTGGTTCATATTGATCCAACCATTGTAACTGTTTTAGAAAACATCTCACCAAAACAGGCTCAGTATGGAGATTGCCTAGGTTCAAATTCTAGCTATTCACCAGTCTTGTGTTCTCAGGCAAACTACTCATTTACTTGAAAAAGGAGAGTAGGCTTGGCACACGTAGCACAGTGGTTATGGTGCCAGCCATAAACACTAAGGCTGGCAGGTTCGAATCCAGTCCGGGCCAGCTAGACAACTGCAACAAAAGAAATAGCCAGGTGTTGTGGTAGGTGCCTGTAATCCCAACTACTCGGGAGGCTGAGGCAAAAGAATCGCTTAAACCCAGGAGTTGGAGGTTGCTGTGAGCTGTGATGCCACAGCATTCTACCGAGTGTGACAGTTTGAGACTCTGTCTCAAAAAAAAAAAAAAATAGTTGGTGGAAGGAGTTTCTACTGTGGCTAAGGGCCTTCCCTTGGTGAGTTCTGGAGCTGACATAGACATTTATTGCTGTCGAGAATGGAAGAAATTGGGCCAGGCTTTGTACTTCCTCTCTGGCCAGTCATTTATTGCTTCCTTGTGGAAGGATTGAGTCAGTTCCCTTCCAGAAAAAGCAATTTTTGGAGAACTATTCAGATTTGGGCTCTCAGTCTATGACCTGTTGAGTCTAAGAAGTTGGAGAAATATGCGCTTTGGTACTGAGAGGCTATGGGAAGAACACCACAGCATCTACTTTATGAACAGATGAACTATGGGAGAGCCCAAGCAAATTACTTAAGATGCTAAAACTATTCCCAGATAAAGGATAGTTTTAACAGTAGTTTGCTATAAAATCTACTTTGATTTAATATAGCCATTCTAGCTTTCTTTTAATGAGTTTTAGCATCATATTTTCCCGAACATTTACTTTTATGCTTATGTGGTCAAAATCTTAATCTATGATTTTCTGCTACCCTGCTACTACCTGAACACCTGTGTAGGTGCCCTTCGGCACACTGAAAGCCAGTATTTTGCTGTGGAGCAGGTACCAGCCAAGAGCAAGTAGAAATTTGATTTATTAAAATTCAAGCTAGCATAGCCTCTAAGGAACCATTTTTCACATCCTGGGAATCTCCAGGGTTTTAATTTAGCCTCAGTTCATGTTTGCTCCACAGTGATTTCTGCATTTTTTCCTCAACTCTAGCTTATGAGGGAGACTTTGGTTTTGACCTCCAAAGAAAGCTCATTTATCTGCATATGTGATAAGTGACAGTTTCAAATAAAACACCACTTTAGTTTCCTATTGCAAATGTCAGAGTGGTTTCTCTCTAACTTTATATCTCAAGAATGAATAGGTCATATACTACACCACACTCCACTCACCACCCATTTTGAAAAGTGCGAATGTATTTGGACACTAAAATGACTAGATGTCTAAACATTTCTGTCCAATGTGAATCTTTTAAGTTGAAGGGTCTGTGGCTATCAGAGGGATGCAAGAGTGAGCTATGGGAGAGCCAGGGGCTTCTGCGGGGGCAAAGGATGCTCTTTGTCATGGGGAAGGCAGTGATTCTGCAGTCTCTAGAGGAGGCAGCAGGAGGAGCTGGTAGAAGCCCAGTTCCAGAGTCGAGAGGGACAGCACATGGGGACAAACCAGGGGAAGGACGCTGTGATGCAGGAAAGTGCTGGGATGGAACAGAAAGGCCCACACCTGGGCAGTCAGCTCACAAGGAACCTAAGGACTCAGAGACAGAGGGCCCTACATTAAGCCAGCCCAAGCCCACAGACTATCCCTATGTTGTACTTTATTATCATCCTCACTGTCCTTTGCTCGGTCTGCTTCCATTGCCATAGCCACAGGTCCTTCTTTGCATCACCTGATAGACACTATGGAGTACTGTGAAGAGAAATGAATGCAGAGACAGAGGTCAACCTAAGGCTGTGAGGAGTGCCAACAGCATGGGCTGTGAATGAATTCAAAGCAACCTTGTTCACTAACCGTGTGACTTTGGGAAAACTACCGAGCAACGGGAGCCTCAGCTTCACCTGTAACATAGATTTAAGTGGTATCTTGTAGGACTGTTAGAACCTACGATATGTATTAAAATATCTAGCACAGTGCCTGGTGCGTATGGGATCTTTAATGACTGGCATTTATTTCTGATATTATTTTGACCTCAGACCCATTCTCTGCTCTGAAAAAAATATTTTTGTTCTCCAATACAACTCAGAGAATTTGCATCTGAATAGGAACCTGAACTGAAAATCACACACAAAGAAATGCTGCTCAGTAAATGTTCTTACAGGATGTATTATTTAAGTGTTGAGGAGCTTCCCACAGTGACTTACAACTAACTGGAATATCCTAAAATTATATAAAATTAAGGACTAACTCCTTTTGTTCCTCCCAGTTTCTCTTCCATCCAAACCACTATGTTCCTTCACTTTAACTCCCCCCACCACTAGATCTTGCTTACAACTGTCCAAGTTACTCTAAAAATAACCTAAATAAAATGCTATTTTATTAGCATCAGTCTGGTTCTCCCACCTAGGTAGATGGGCATCTGGCTAATGGCTTCAGGCCTCACTACATGGAGAGTCACCCTTATTGCTCAGGAAATCTCTACAGACGATGGAAATCAACCACTTGGTTCTTAACGGGGCTCACACACACTGGGACAAGAGTGCAGGACTCTTTCCACACCTGCCCCAGGTGGACATTACTGTCCTGTAGCCACCATCAGATGGCACTGCTCAGGGCAGTTTTCTATTCTCTGCTTTGCTCTCAGCCCTGAGTCACAAATCACACTGTCCCAGAGTCTGGCCCTGCCACCACCCAGCTCCTTACAACCCACTCCCACAGAAGGAACTGTGGTTTTCCAAAGTCCCCAAACCACCTGGGCTCAGAGCATTCACTCCTCATTGCTCTCACCAGAAGCCCCACACCCTCAGCCTTTCCCTTACTTGTCCTTTAGGACATAGGGGACATCTCACCACCCAAGCTCCTAGACGCCATAATCCCATGGCTGAGGGTGGGCCTGGCTATTCCTAGTGTCTCTATTAACTCAGGGCCTTCCACAGAGCAGATTCTCAATGAAAATTTGGGGAACAAATGTGCCAGTGAGCAGAGGGCCTTATTTATTGAGTTTAAATTTCTCCTACACTCCCAAATGAGCCAAATAAATTCAGATATACATGTATATTAATATTTTAATTTTTATAGAAAAAAAGGTTTGAAGAAATGAGAAGCCAGAAAATAACTTCATAAATTTTATTTCTCTATTTCATAACTGCATATATTTAAGTGCAAAGTTCTTTCTCATTTCCAAGAAAATTACTGTTCCAATAACTTTCCAATTCCAACCTCCATCCAAAACAATATAAAATGGCAATTTTCCCTATTTCTTTTTACAGTATAGGAAGCTCTTACTTTTCATAAGCAAAATTACATGTGATAAACAATATTCTCCAATTTAGATGAAAAATTTCTATGAAAAAGAACAATATTCTCCAATTTAGATGAAAATTTCTATGAAAAAGAACAAAATTTGAAACATTTCAAAAGGAAAACAAATTTCTAAGTCACCCAAATATAACAGGAACACAAAAAGGTTATGAACTGGTGATTTTCCCAATATACTCCGCCTCCCACTTCTCTCTAAAGAAACAACTAATTTTGCATGGGCCACAGAAGTTGATGGAAGGGACATTGGTGGTGTACTGGCTTTGTGTCCCCCCCCCTGCTGCAACTTACTCCTCCTCCTCCTCATCTCTCAAAGCCTCTTCATACAGGTATGGGAAGGACCTGGGATCCCTCTTATTAATCTTAGCCACATACTCCAGGACTTTCATCTTAGTAGTTTCAGCATGGGCCCTTGGACCCCACAGAAACTCATAACGCGCAGGATCACTCTGGGGCACCTGCTGGTACACCAGGTAACCTTCCTGCACCCAGTGGTGGGTGATGAGCTGCCGGGGCTCCCCATAGATGAAGTGCTCCCACCCATCATGCACCCCCATCATGCCCAGTGCTGCCCAGATGACCTCCTCTGGGGCACTATTGCCCTCCAGGAAGATGAAGCCCAGGATGATTATCAGGAGGCCGACCTTGGGCAGGCAATTCTCATCATCCAGCTCCTCATGGTAGCTGAGGCCCATGGAGGTGACAAGGATGTAGCAGTTGCTGGGCGGATCTACTTCCTTCACATCGATACCGAAGACCAGCTCCAAGCAGTCGGTGGCTTCCCTGAAGATCTCAGCGAAGTGATCTCCGTATTGTTGGACAACACTACTCATCATTTCTTCCTTGGTGATTGGCTCCTTGATTCGATACTTGAGGAGCATCAGATGGATCAAATCAGACATCTTATCTTCTAGGGCATCTCGCAGCACCTCGGGGTCTTCCAGCTCCTGGGGGGGGGCTGGCCCCTCGGCTCCCTGGCTGCTGGAGCCCTCATCAGGCTGGTGCCCTTCACCACTGGCGGGGGAGGCTCCCGCAGCAGCTGCCCCCTCCTCCAGGGGGCCTGGGATCCCAGCAGAGAAGGAGGCAGCTGCTTCCTCCTCCTGAGCCCTGGGATTCTGCACCTCTCTTTGGGCCTGAAGGCCCTGATTCTGCTGATCCTGATGGTCAGACATTATGGATCTGGTCAGGGGTGTACGCAGGCCTGAGGAGAGAGGAAGCATGTCAGTGGGTTCTTTGAGAACCACACCCTAGGACTCTAGCAAAGCCCAAAGCCTACAGGGTTTTTCCATAGGTGGTGCTCAGGGGCCATGGAGGGCTCCTGTCCTCTTTCTTGGCCTGTCCCCCGAGCACCTACAAGACCAAGTGAGATGGCTCCTCGAGGGCAGCTGGTAGGCAGAGTATGAGGCTCCACGGCTGACAGTGAGTGGGTGGGGCCAGGCACTGTGGGGTCACCTCTATCCATGGGAGGGCAGAGGTGGGCGGGCCCTGACCTGGACTCTGGGCATTGCCTGGGCCTCCTCTGCTCTGTGACCCCAGGACACTGCCTCAGACCAAGGTCTCACTGTGTATTCCTAGAGCCACATAAGAGGAAGTGAGGAGCCCTCGGGGGCAGATACACACAAAGTACTAGGGCCCTCAGCACCGTCAGGAGGGCGGGCTGGGCTCTGGGGGGTTCCCACTGTCCTGGGGTGGACGGTATCCTCTGTGCTCACTCAGGGCCCTCACCTTTCCCCTGTGGGCCCTAGAACACACCCTTTTGCTGGTGTGAGAAACTCTCGCAACAAGGGCTCACATCCCTGAGATGGAGCAGGTGGTGTGTGGGGCCCTTATGTAGGTACAACTGCCTAGTGCATCCCAACGAGGACAGCAAGATTCAGTAGAATCCATGTGTCCTGGGGGAAGGAGGATCCTGCTTGGTTATCACCTGGATGCCTGGTAGAGCCTGAGACCCTCCCTCTGTTGACCTGAGGCCACCTCCTTAAAACAAGGCCCTGTCTCCCCAAGACACCAGAAGAAGAAGTGAGAGGCCATTAACCCACCACTCCCCACATCTTTCCTCAGCTGACATGAGGTGGGGGACAGCAGGTCTTGGTCCTGTATGTTAGGTGAATGGGGTCCCCTCTGTTCTTACCTTGAGTCCTGGCAGGGCCTTGAATCCTCCCTCTGCTGAGCTGACTGCAGCCCCCTCAGACCAAGGTGTTGCCTCCCTGAGACCAAAGATTCAGATATGAGAGGGGTCCTCAGCCTGAGCCCTACACAGGCTTTCCAGGGCTGTTATCAGGGTGGGGACAGATTTCTGTGATGCTCCCAGCTGTTTTGTCAGTCCTCCCTAGGGGTGCAGCTTGGGCCTGGCAGATCCTGGGACTCTTTCCTCTGCTAGGTGTCCTCACTCGGGGACCAAAGTGCTCATCTCCCTGAGAACTGCATCCTTAACCTCATGCCAGAAATGAGCCATGCCATATGCAACCCTGCCAGGGCCTCCCAGGTCTGAGAACAGCAGAGGATGGGCTCTCAGCGGGCCCTTCTTCTGGGTGAGGTGGGAGCATCTAGTGCCTTCAGTCCTCAGCAACATTCCCCGTGTGATTCCTGCCCAACCCTGGACTCTCCCCTCTGTTGACTTATGACTCCCTTGGACCAAGGCCGTCCCCTCTGACATGGCTAAGGCAGAAACAAAGACGCATTACATCTGGCCACCCTGCCCAGGGCCTCCTAGTGCCAAAGTCCCCTGTGTTCTGGAGTGTGTTCTGTACTCCCTTGTGTCCTCTCAACTGCTGGCAGGCCCTGGGCCCCCAACCCCCTGCCAACCTGCATCATCACCCCTCAGATTTCCCAGGCTGAATTAGGGAGGTGCCTCCTTGTGAAATTTCTTCTGTGGCCTCCCAGGGTCACAGTAGGGACAGGGGTGATGCTATGGGGCGCTCAATCCTCCCTCAGTGTCCTACTTTCCTCCTACCAGAGCTGCACCCTCTTCCCTCTGACCTGATGTCCAGACCTTAGACCAAGCCCTCTCCCTGTCAGCTTCCCTGGCAGAAGTCAATGGACATCACACCTAGGACCCCATACCTACAGCTCCTAGGGCCCATAGGAGAGGCGGAGCTGGATTATTTGGGTTCCTCTACCTGGTGGGGGGCCTCCTCAGTCCCCCTCAACCTCTCACCTTCACTTCTAATAGATCTGGCCCCTCTGCCTTCTGCTGATCTGAAGCTAGACCTCAGACCAAGGCCCTTTCTCTGTAATACCCCAAACAGACGTCAACAGACATCACATTGGGCTCCTCACACCCAGAGTTTCCCAGGGTTGACAGCAGAGTGAATGAGGAATGTGGAGCCCCCATATAGGGATCTTGCAGAGAGCCTGGGCCTTGACCTCTATGGCCCTGAGTCAGCCCTGGGTCACAGCAGGCTCGATGACTCACAGTGTCTCCTGAAGTATAAGGAAGGAGGGCTCAAGCCTCATACGTCTGCCTCAGTGTGGCCCAAGGCTGACAGCAGGAGTGCAGCTGATTATTTAGGGTCCCTCTACCTTGGGTGGGAGCCTCTTCAGTCCTCCCTCAGTGTCTCACCTTCACTCACAACAGAGCCAGGTCCTCTCCCCTCCATCTATATGAAGCTCGGACCTCAGAAAAAGACTCTCACCACTATCAGTCGCCCAGGTGGAAGCTACATCCCTTTAGCAGCCCCAAAGTCCATCCGTGTCTCTGATCCCTCCCCCCATTTCCTGTCACATCCAGCCCCCACACCTGGGGCATCCTAGGGCAGACAGCAAGGCCAAGGATGGACTATAGGGATCCCTACTGGGATCTTGCAAAGCCTGAATCTGCCCTCTAAGTACCCCAGAGGACATCAGTTCACTCCCGGCTGTGACTCCCTATAGTGCCAGAGCTGCGTCCTCTCCCCTCCTCTATCTGTAGCTGGGAACTCAGAACAAGGCCCTCGCTTCTCTCAGCCCCCCAACATGGAAGTCAATATATGTCACATCCGGCCCCCACCCCCACATATGGGGCTTTCCAGGGGTAAGGGGAGGGAGAGGGAGCAGGATCGAGAAAGAGTCAAAGACAAGGATGAACCATGGGGCCACTACCGGGATGTAGGGGAACCTCTCTCTCCTTCCCTAAGGCCTTGCCCTCTATGGTCCTGAGTCACTCCAGGTCTCACAAGGCTCTGACTCCCACAATACCCTGAGTAAGAAGATAGGGGAGGGGTTCAGCCTCACACATGGCCCCAGGCCCACAGTAGGGCAAAAGTTTAATTATTAGAGGTCCTCGACCTGGGGTGTGGGTCATCTCATTTCTCTCTTGGGGTCTGTCTTTGATTCCTGACAGAGCTGGGCCCTCTCCCCTCCACTATCTCAAGCCTGGAACTCAGACCAAGGCCCTTGCTTCTCTCAGCCCTCGAAAACAGAAGTCAGTATACGTCACATCCAGCCTCCACTGCCCTACATACAGGGCTTTCCAGGGCTGATGGGGGGGGACAGGAAGGGGGAAGGGTCTCAGTGCCCCTCTCTCCTCCCT